ACCCCTAATATCACCTATGGACCCCAAAAGAAGCTGATAAAGCAGAGATCCGCGAACGAGCACATATAGGCGATCGGCGGGCTATGGACCCGCCGATCGCCTATATGTGAAACACCCGGTAACGGGTGTGTGCATTTAGCGGGTCTTTTCTGCCCGTGCGTGCCCGCTAGGGGGCGCGCGCGAGCAGAAAAAAATTGCCGTCTGGAGACGGCAACCCGCAGATGCTGCAGTGCCGTCCGTCCGTTTTTTTACTACGGGCGGACGGCAAGAGGTTAACCTAGAGTAGGCATGCCCGGTGCCTTATCTTTACCACTGGTCCGCTAGCGTGCCCTATCAGGAAGACAAGCAAAACAAATGTCAAACGCACTCATCAATTTGTCACCAGCTTTACAGCAAGGTGCACATGGAAGGGCTTTATACAGTACAACAGCAATCTAAACCTCTGTTTTTAACCTCAGCGGTGAGACAAGTTTTTTTGCATGCTGGCTGGTGAGTGTGCTGGGAAACTTTTTGCTGTTGTACTGTAGAAAGCCCTTCCATGTGCACCTTGCTATAAAGCTGGTAACAAATTGATGAGTGCGTTTGCCATTTGTTTTGCTTGACTGATTTGGTGCAGTGACGCATGGGGGGGTCTCAGCTGCCGTTGTGATGTGCGGGGTCCCTTGTGCATCCCTGGGGCTTTAAGGGAGGTTGGGCTTCCTCCTGACAAACCTGCACCCAATTTTATCTTTTGCTTCATGTGCTCCAGGATGGAGACTCCCATAGTTTAGAGTTAGGACCGCACTATATAGGAGGAGCCTTGGGTAGGCTGTGCGGCTTTCACATTTTCTGCAGAAGACGTGTATCCAAACCTGTTTTTAACCTTAGCGGTGAGACAAGTTTTTTTGCATGCTGGCGAGTGTGCTGGGAAACTTTTTGCTGTTGTACTATCAGGAAGACAGACCCCAGTACAGTCAAATAGGGACAGGGGCACTTCACTCGCTGTGCAATTGTCAACAATTCTATTTCTATTTCAATTCTATTGCTGGTGACTTTGCTCTAGTGCCTTATACAGGTGAAACTCGAATAATTCGAATATTGTGCAAAGTTCATTTATTTCACTAATGCAACTTAAAAGGTGAAACTAATATATGAGAGAGACTCATTACATGCAAAGCAAGATAATTCAAGCCGTGATTTGTCATAATTGTGATGATTATGGCTTACAGCTCATGAAAACCCCAAATCCACAATCTCAGAAAATTAGAATATTACATGCAATCAATAAAACAAGGATTGTACATAGAACAATATCGGACCTCTGAAAAGTACAAGCATGCATATGTACTCAGTACTTGGTTTGGGCCCCTTTTGCAGCACTTACTGCAATTACTTTTGCACGACATTCTAATTATTCGAGTTTCACCTGTACTTACTGCTCCACCTCTCTGATCCTCTCCCCTGCAAACGCCGTTTTTCTAGCTGTGGTCAAACTTCAAATCCCATGATGCATTTGCCTCTGGGAGTCGTGGCTGTCAGAGTCTTGCATTGCTTCATGGGATTTGTAGTTGCACCACAGCTGGAGGGCCGGAGTTTTCCCACCCTTGCACTAGAGGGTACAAAGAACAGCAAAGGTTTAATGCCAATGGAGTACAGCAGAGTACAGAACAGGGGTAGGCCAACTCTGGCCCTCCAGCTGTGGTCATACTACAAATCTCATGATGTATCTGTCTCTGGGAGTCATGCCTGCGGCTGTCAGAGTCTTGCAATGCCTCCTGGGATTTGTAGTTGCTCCACAGCAGGAGGGGCCAGAGTTTTCCTACCCCTGGTAAAGAACATCATTTGTGACATTCCTGCAACAGATGAGCAATTGTTTTGGATGTGTGATGGTGTACCTGTCCACATACAAGTGCCCCCGAGGGTTGGAATTGACCTTTAATGGAGATTTTACAGCACACTGGAAAATCTTGCTGATCACCAACACTGCAGGAAGCCTTCATTACACACATGCTGCACCAAATCTGAGATAACACGAAAATGGATATTGGTCACCGATGGCTCGGAGACGACACAAAGCCTTCCTCCACCTGCCTTCCTCAGTGACAGACCGGACGGTCCTCCTCTGCAGCAAGGTTCAAATTAGGTTTTCAGAGAACAATTGCTTCTGTCACAACCCTGCTAAATGCATCTCATCGTAGGAGACTGAAGGACGCTTAAGTGCCGCCTCTATTCAGGGCTGACCGCTGTGGCCTCAGTCCCACAGAGACTTCGCAATGAACTTTACTCTGCGACACATTTATCTGGCCAACACCATCTCTGTTCTATGAAAACGTCTTTCCTGGATTCCTCATGGAAAGAAAGATCTGCGGCTAAATGTCCCCGTTTGTCTCGCGCGATCAATCATCTGTACAGCCGCATCTGTGCCGCAGCACGCCACCCAGAAATGTACGCCGTGAACACTCGTTACTGCTCACCTGATGGCACACAGCACAGATGGTGCGGCACACATGGCTCCGAGCGAGGGGTTTTAAATGCAATCAAAGAGCTTTCCTGTAAATAAAAAACATTTCTATAGATTTCAATGGAAAATTTGTTTAGATCTCGAAATGTTTTAATTTTGCAGGCAGGGATGCTACCAAGTATTTTAGTGGATCTTCAGGAAAACTGTATGATCTGTGACTGCTCCACCTTTAAATCTGCCCATACTCTGTACATATGAACGTTCATATAGAAATCCACCAATCTCATCAGGACGTTTGATAATGCCTTTAGGGACTTGACAAATGTCGTTCGAAAAAAAAAGAAACCTTAACCTTGCAGCGGGCCTTCCCCAACCCCCCCCCCAAAAAAAAAAATTGCAAGGATTAATTGCCCATTCTGTCTGGTGTGCTCAAATAAAGCAGATTTACCCAGCCGCAATACTCAGTACCACCTAGACTGGTCCCCACAACCTCTTCTCCCCCCGGGCTCCAGTGGCCTAAGGACCCGTGACGTCATCATGCCCGATGCAGGCCCATTGCATAAAGGTTTCCCTCACATGCAATGCAGGATTGCTGGTTTGCTTTCAGTGGCACCGAACAGAGCTTGAAGGAACATTCATTCCCTCCAAAATGTTTATTCCCATATAAATCATGTGACCACATGCCGCCATTCATTTTGCAATTTTAAGTCTGACAGGTACTAGACCGCTGCTTGATGAGATGTGAAAATTCGTTCTAAGGGCTCGGTCACACCAAGTGAGTTGAGCTGCGATTGATTGGCATTGATCAATGCAGGCTCAACGGGAGGATACATAGAAAAAAACATGCACCCTGTTCGCCACATATATGTGCGTTAGTGTGCTTTGAGTACAAATACAGCAGGTCTACATTCCTATGCAGCGCATTGCACATCACCATATGCCACCATATGGCACCACAGCATGTCCCAATGAGTAGCGGTGCATAAAGTTGAATGATTTGATTTTTGTTGACTTTAAATAAAGATTTGAAAAAAAGTAAAACATTGTGATGGGATACAACAAGGCAATACACCGCCCCCTACGCAACCAACACCGGCAAATGCGTTACATGGAACATAACACATGCCTGCTGGTGTGAACGGGCCCAAAGAAGGCAAAGGCATTGAGGAGCAATGACATAATGCGTGCAGGAAAGTTAGAAAGGAACCTTTGCAAATGCGCAGAACTCTGGCACCAGGGATACTTTGGAGCTTGAGTAGACCACAAAGGGTTAACAGTGGACTTTCCCACTACCACTAAATGGAATGAATCAGTTTTGTTTTGGGATACTTAAGTGAATATGAACGTTCTTAAGTCAACAGTAGAGATTCTAGCTGCAAATCAAAGTGGTTTCATTTAATATTTGCACAATGCCTGGAGGTAAATACACCGTGCAACAGAGGAGCACCATGGTTTCAAATCTTATTGCTGGCCATAAACACAGTTCATGCGTTTCACACAATTCCTTCTAAGTGGAATGCCCTTCCATAAAAAGAAGAAATAGAAAATGCATCTGCAGCAAGGACGTTACTATAACTAGACCAGATCATGTGACTGCTATGGGACCCAGAGGCACAGTAAGGGGGCCCAGGGCTGTCTAGCTTCACGTTGGTTTATGCAGATAGCAAAGGTATTTGGTAAATACAGATGGATAAAGCTAATGTATTAAAGTTTGGGAACCTTCATATATTTTGTTTTCTGTATCCTTAAAGGAATCGTCTTTGAGTTTAAGGGGCCCCTTAAAAGGTTTTCTTCAATGCAATTGTTACGCCTTGTCACCGGCCTTAAACAAAATTCATGGGTTTCCAACAAATCCTCCTAGGTGGGATATCCTTTTATATGTACAGAGAAAAAAACACTAAATGCATTTGCAGCAAGGACGCAATTATAACTAGAGAAGACCTTGTGTCTGCTATGGGGCCCAGCAGCACAGTAAGGGGGCCCATGGCTGTCCAGCTTCACAGGCAGATGGCAATATCATTTGGAAAATGCCGATGGATAAAGCCAATGTATTCAAATTTGGGAACCTCCAAATATTTAGTTTTTTGTATCACTAAAACAATTGTCTTTGAGATTGAGTTTAAGGGCCCCCTTAATGGTTTCCTGCAATGCCATGCCTACAGCTGGTCTCGGCCATAAACACAATTCATGGATTTCCCGAAAATCCTCCTAGGTGGGAAATCCTTTTAAATCTACAGAGCAAAATTAAAACATACAAACTGCATTTGCAGCAAGGACGTAACTATAACTAGCCCAGACCATGTGACTGCTATGGGGCCCAGCAGAACAGTAAGGGGGCCCCAGGCTGTCAAGCTTCAAAGTAGTTTATACAGATAGCATTTGGCAAAAACAGATGAATAAAGCTAATGTATTAAAGTTTAGGAATCTCCAAATATTTAATTTTCTGTATCATTAGAGGAAATGCCTTTGAGATGGAGTTTAAGGGGGCCCTATAATGGTTTCGCTAGGGGGGCCCAATGCACATAGTTATGACTCTCATCGGCAGGACAGACTTGCTTACCCACTGTAGCCGGCAACTTTCCCAGCAAAGCCTGTTTGTATTTGATCAAGCTTTCGTCATCTTTGTCCAGCTCCTGGATCTCCTGCAGGCTTTTCTTCTCTGGCGCCTTATAATTCAGGTCGGTCTCATCCTCGATTTCATCGTCAACAGCTTTAATTTCGTTTCTGTCGGCCATTTTGTCTGCAATGGAAGAAAATGATTGGCGACTTAGAAAAGGGATTCTTAAAGTTGGCAAAGTATTTACTCCTTTATTAGCACCCACATTTACCAAACAATCTCGTATATTTGTAACAATATAAAAAGGTATATAGTGGAACAAAAAATCAACAAAAATACATCTCTGACTAGGAATGTTCTTGGGTGCAATTTATAAAATATATTTAGAAAAAAAAAAAAGACTATGAAGATATATATATACACACATACACACACTATATTGCCAAAAGTATTGGGACCCCCCTCCAAATCATTGGATTCAGGTGTTCCAATCACCTCCATGGCCTCCGGTGTAAAAAATCACGCACCTCGGCATGCAGACGCTTCTACAGACATTGGTGAGAGAATGGGTCGCTTTCAGCAGCTCAGTGAACCCAAGCGTGGTACCGTGATAGGTTGTCAACTGTGCAATAAGTCCATCCGTGACATTTCCTGGCTACTAAATATTCCACGGTCACCTGTTACTGGTATTATAACAAAGTGGAAGCAACCGGGAACAACAACAACTCAGCCACGAAGTGGTAGGCCACGTAAAATGACAGAGCGGGGTCAGCGCATGCTGAAGCGCACAGTGCACAGAAGTCTCTAAACTGTCTGCAGAGTCAATAGCTACAGACCTCCAAACTTGGTGTGGCCTTCAGATTGGCACAACAACAGTGCGTAGAGAGCTTCATGGAATGGGTTTCCATGGCCGAGCAGCTGCATCCAAGCCTTACATCACCAAGTGCAATGCAAAGCGTGGGATGCCGTGGTGTAAAGCACGCCGCCACTGGACTCTAGAGAAGTACATATTCCAGAATCATCTGGGGGTTATAAGACCAGGTATAATCCAAACATGCAGTGGTCTGCATCCCTATGTGTCACCCTGAACTGAACCCCTTGTCCCCACACAGACACATTCCATACATTACATTGGACTCCTGCCACTGGCTCAATAGCTCATTCTCCAAAATGCACTCCGGAATTAAAGCCAGGATTGGGATACTTAGAGGCAGGAGTTCCAAACACTTACCCGACATGCTTCACAGTTTTGGCTTTGGACACACAGTAGCAGTACACATTTTCAGTGCAAAATGGGCCCCAAGCTTTAATGACCCTTCTATTTTACCACAGCCTGAGTGTAATAGACAGATCACAGTCTTGAATCAAGTAAAACACCCACAAAGCTCTTGGTAATAAGACACCATGTGTTCTCATGCCTACTTCTAAAGATTACGCTGACATAGACACATGACCTATTGATTCACGTAAGGCATCATGCACACAGGTGGAGAACCCATACATTGTCAGTACTGGCAGGAAGCCCGCGTCCAGGGATTTATATCCTCGCACATACGCGGCTGGACACAAGTACCAGCATATACCCTTGTACAGCCATTCACTTCTATAGGAGGCTCTACAGCAGCATCTGCAACTTCCTCCTGGGGTTATACGCCGAAATTTGCACTATGCCCCTGGTTTATTGCAGGGGAATGGTGATTGCTGTGGGGCCCCTTAGACATCCATCAGGCCCCTAGGTTGCAATAGGTTAGTTTTGACCAGTTGTGCGATCCCCCTGGTTTACTGCAGCAGAATGGGGATTGTTGTGTGGCCCCTTAGACATCCATCAGGCCCCTTGGTTGCCTTTTGGATGATCCAGCTCTGACTGCAGAAGCCGGTCAATGATTGCTTGCATTTTGTATGGTTGAGATAAAAGACACCTCTGTGGACATGAGTGGTTCTTGAAGACCAGATTTCAGCACCACCTTTATGTTGGACAGCGCCCTGGTCAGTTCCATTCTTAATGCTGCAAGCCGGGAATCCTGAGACTTGTAGTTCTTCGTCAGACAGTCCAGAGACTGCCAATGCAGCAATGCTTCTAGAGATAACGGCGTACGCTCTCTGTCCATCAACGCCCCCCCCCCGGGTCAGCATTAAAAATGCATAAAGTATTTCCCCGAGTAAAATTGCAATCTACACATAACGCGCCACGTCCTTAACCTCGCATAGTCTCTGGCAGAGGCTCATTACATGCAGAGAGCAGGGGAAGCCTATGATCTGACTGATTAATATGACCATTGCATAATCCCCGGAACATTACAGCGCACAGAGGGGAGCCATCGCCAGGCGAGGGAAGATCTGCATAATGGGCCAGGCGTGGACTCCGCTGACTCAGAAGAGGTTGTAACAAATGCCGCCTGTAACTCACACCGCCGCTGCAAATGCGTCACAGATTATATGTGCGGGTGAATAAGGTCGACTTTGGTGCCGAGTGGGCCACACACTGCTCCAAATTTTGCAGATTCTGACAAAATTTGACCAATGCATGGCCTGCTTTAGGTTTTATTTGTGCACAAACAGGAAACCAATGGTACTTCCGGGTATGCAGACCCATGTGACAGAGCTGGGTCAGTCAACAATGCCACAGGGAAGTTCATAGCTCAGGGTAATATACGACTCTGGCAACTGGGGCTGAACAGAATGGCGGGGGAGCAAAAGCAAGTAAGTATTTGTATCTGTAGAAGCCCGATTTAAAGCTGTACTCCGGGATCAGCAAATATTGTTCTCATACAAGAGTCATGTGTATTCTTCCTTGAATCTTGGTGAGCTTTGTGTATTTCTTCCAGATCTTTGTAGTAATCTAGTGTGAAACTTGGAGCTTCCTGTAATAAAGACCGGTTACTGCTGCTCTTTCTCTTTCTGCAGGGGGACTGGTCGGGTTTCTGCCCCCACAGCTCTGCTGTCTGCACCAGCTGTGTACAGAGCAGTGATGATGTCACCGCTACTTTGTTGCAAGGTAATATCTTGGGTTGACATATGGTGCACACAAAGCGGCTATTGAGGAGTAAAATTTTTGTTCCCAGCCCCACACTGGGGCGTAACAAGAAATCACAGGGTCCCATAGCAAAATTTTGTATGGTGCCCTGTGATTTCTAGTTACGCCCCTTGCAGAGCCCACCTGAGAGTGACTCTGCAGGGTCTCAGGTGGGCTGGTAACACCCCTACACACCTCTTACCTGTCAGCCCCAATCCGCTGTCAGCCTTTGCCACAGCCGGGCCCTGCCTCTTTCTATTCCTCCACCACCGCCCGGCCCCTCCTCCTCCAGTGCCATCGCTGGGCTTTGGCCTCCTCCACCGCAGCTGCTGGTTGTCAGTGACTCAGCAGCGGCTGCGAGGAGGAATGAGCCGCTGCAAGTATCATTGACAGGTTGTCAGTGATCTGGACAGCGGTGCATTCCTCCTCGCAGCCACCAGTGACAGCCAGCAGCCTGCGATGCCATAGCGACCCGCACGGCATCAGGGGGACCCCTTTGTTCCTCGTCCTTCTTGGACCCCTCTGTGCCCCGGGCCCCATAGCGGCTGCCTGGGCTGCTGTAGCGATAGCTCCGCCACTGGGCCCACAATTCAGCTTTAAATTGGCCTGTATAGGCAAAGCATGGATTCACTTAAAGTGGAAATTCCTCCACACCTACCATCATATTTACACAAGAGGCAACACCCTTTAAGGATAAAAAAAGTGAACCCATGCTCGTTAGAACGTGGAATTATGACAGCGGCACAAGCCCTAATAAGCCGGGTTTAAAGGTGCACACAAAGCCACAATAAACTAAAAAAAAAAAAATTAAATGAGCTAAACCAATAGGAATAACACGGCGCACAATTAAAGGCTTACTCCGAGAAGCCGCCAAGTAAAGATTTCTGTCAATCTATTATAAAGCTTTGTGTGCGGCTGGCAAGCATCCGAGCGTTCACGCTGCAAGCAGATTCAGTCACTTATTTTTTTTGTGCAGAATTTCAAAAAGATAAGCGAGCCGGGCAGATGACTGGCTCTGAAGAGCGGCGAGATAAGGTTCACCTCACAGGAAGCAATACAAACCTGCAAATCCACAGCAGACACGCCGAATAAATACATGGAAATGAGATTAGATGGCTGTGCGGCTTGTAGAACGGGATAAAAGAGCGGAGAAATACACCTTTCCTGCCGAGCGCCCGTCTTTAAGGGCCTTAAATCATTTTATCTCCCATAATCCACTTCTGCTTTCAGTGCTGAACCCGCTAAGGCTCCATGACAAAAGGTGTAACGAAAAAAGAGAATTATCAGATCCGCCGATTTCTTGTTGTGTAATAGAACAAAGCAAAAAAGGATAAATGAGTCTGCATGAAATCACTTAGCATCTGAAAGACAAGCTCTGGCCAGATACAGTGTATTCTAACCCCAAAACAGGAAAGTAATACGGGCGCAGCTTACAGGCCCCTTAGATGTGGCGGGCTGCATTCGTTTTCTTATTTCTGGCCTTTTCCTCCAGGTCTAGGAGTCCAAAGTCTTTTAAAATTATTATTTTTAACTGCATAACTTAAAATGGCCAACACGTTTCAGAGGCCCAAAAAATGGTTATAAAACTGTACATAAACATGAGTTGTCTATATTGGAATATAGTCAACTCATATTAGGAGATTATATATATATAAAAACACACACACAATATTACCAAAAGTATTGGTAATTATTGGATTCAGGTGTTCCAATCACTTCCATGGCCTCCGGTGTATAAAATCACGCACCTCGGCATGCAGACGCTTCTACAAACATTTGCAAAAGAATGGGTCGCTCCCAGGAGCTCAGTGAATTCAAGCGTGTCACCAGTTACTGGTATTATAACAAATTGGAAGCAACTGGGAACAACAGCAACTCAGCCACGAAGTGGTAGGCCACGTAAAATGAGAGAGCGGGGTCGGCGCATGCTGAAGCGCACAGTGTGCAGAAGTCGCCAACTGTACGCAGAGTCAATAGCTACAGACCTCCAAACTTCGTTTGGCCTTCAGATTGGCACAACAACAGTGCGTAGAGAGCTTCATGGAATGGGTTTTAGTGCACAAAGCAAGGTCCATAAAGACATGGATGGGGGAGTTTGGGGTGGAGGAACTTGACTGGCCTGCACAGAGTCCTGACCTCAACCCGATAGAACACCTTTGGGATGACTTAGAGCGGAGACTGCGAGCCCGGCCTCCTCGTCCAACATCAGTACCTGACCTCACAAATGCACTTCTGGAAGAATGGTCCAACGTTCTCCCATAGACACACTCCTAAAAACTTGTGGATGCCTTCCCAGACAAGTTGAAGCTGTTATAGCTGCAAAGGGCGGAGCCAACTCAATATTGAACCCTACAGACTAAGACTGGGAAGTTCATACCAACCTTTGATGTTTTCTCTAGTAATTGTCAATGGAATTGCTGGCTCCTGGATTGGAGAGACTGCCTCCTGATTTCAAGATCCTAAAAGAACAAGTCTGGGCAGTAAGAGACTTCTCCTTTGCAGTGGACCCACCCCCACACTGCAAAGGTAAAGTGCTAATTTTCGTGGGGTAGGGTTTAAAATAACAAGAAATACTCACCTAAACCCCAGACCTGGCTGGCAGCTAGGCCAGTCCCTGCAGCCCCTCTCCCCCTATTTTACAACGATGGAATGTCCCTCGGCATCCCTAAGTCCAATACACTGATCCAGCTGTTCCACTGAGAATGTGGAGGTCTGCTTTCATGCACACAGAGGTATTTGCAGATACTAAAAGGAGGAAAATAAGGCAAAGTCAACTTAGACTTCATTAGTCAACCACTGGGGCATCTACGGGTTGGATGGATAACCATATAACTTGCTTCTAGTGAGGTGGCCTGTGCTTACTGAGAGCAGTACAGAGCTAAGCCCACTGATGCACTTAAGAAGCTTGGGCAAGTCTACCACAACCTAACCCCCTAGTGAAGATATGGCAACAGCCTAGCAATGACTAGCAATGAGAGGGAAGGTCTTCCAAAATAAACACTTGGAGCAAGCAAGTGCAAGATCTACAAACCCTAAACTCCCTTCTCCTTTATGGCATGATGTTTATGTCTTAGCTACGGCTTCAACATGGATTACGGCTTCAAAGCAAGTCCACTATGAGTGGATAAAAAGCTAACCAATCAGATTCAAATTTTACAATTGAGACTGACAGCAGGGTTCACTTTTATTCCATGATCACTGTGGCACGGTCATGTGAGGTCAAAATCCTCCACTGTCTGCCAAGAGAACCCAACAGGAGCTTTCACCTATACGTTCATGTATAAAAGGCTGGTAACAGAGAGCTACATGGGAACTTAGCATGCACTGAGTATAACAGGGGAAGGTTATTGATACCATGGCCTAGGTTGCTGCCCATGTTCCTGGGTGAACCATTGACTGCCATCTGTAATGCACATGCTGCACAAGTCTTGGTCTAGAAGTCTTGGTCTTGAGTCTGTTCGCTCAAATGAAAATAGATACTTAAAATAGATGCACCTTAAAAACAATGTGAACATTATAGAATTCACAAGGCCAGAGTTTTAGCTCCACCACATAACTGGGCCTCAGTATAGCCAATCCCAGCATTAGGCCCACCACAGAACCAGACCAACCTATGGCCTTTTAAAAATGTTGGTACGATCTGAGGACAAGAATAAGCCATCAAATCAGAGCAGTACACCATCACAGGACTGAATCGGAAGATAAGGCAAGGCTGGACAAATCCAGATGGACAATATTTCTTAAAAATGACAGCTGGCGGCTAATGTTTGAGGTTTTCTATGGTTGTTGTCAATGGAGCTATAAAAAAATCCTGCTGGCTCATAGAATTGGACAGATTGGCTCCTGAACTTCATATTAATTTGTCCACCTGTGCTAGAGGGAAGGAGAACATTAGTGCTATTGCATGACAAATCTACAGGTAGCCAACTGGAGCATTCAAACTATTAGAAGACAAGACCAACCTGTAGTCAATCAGCGCTGGAACAAATCAAGGGCAAGACCAAAAGAGCAGCCAACTAAAGCATTAGAACCGTAAAAAGACAAAACTAACCTGTAGCCAACCAGAGCATTAGAATACTAATGAGACTAGTCCATCCTGTAACCAGAGCGTTTTAGCTTTGACAGGACTTGACCCACCAAGTAGAGCCAATTTAGGACTTGATCTACCTGTAGCCACCACCAGAACCTTCTCAGAAATGGAATGCACAAACCTAAAGCCAAATCAGAGCTTTATAACCTTCAGCAACACCTGACCAACCTAAGAGCCATTTAACATGTGTGCATTTCGCCAGAACGGGGTCAACCTGTAGACACCCTGTAGGAACTTTCAACGGGCTAGACCAGCATTTCTCAACCTTTTTTTCAGTCACGGCACCCTATAAAAGTATGCAAAATCTTGAGCCACCCCAATGTAAAACATAAGTGTTAAGAAAAAAAGGTGTTGCCCCTCCAAAATCCATATCAGCCTCTTATCCCAGATAGGGGTCTGATATGGATATTTAGCAGAGACCCCACGCAAAAACACATAAAACATTTATGTTCTCTCAACACATCAGAGTCATCGCCCCCCCCCCCTTTTCACATCAGAAACCACCTTTGACATTAGAAGCCCTCTGTTTGCATCAGGAGCCCCCTTTTCACATAAGAAGCCCCCCTTTAATATCAAGCGCCACAGCTGTGGCAGCATGGCAGAGGGCAAGAGGAGAATCAGGCCTGGTTGGAGAAGAACTTTAAATGGATCCCACCCTTCTTGGATTAGCGTCATTCGTTTCCATGGTGCTGGGCCAACATTTCAGGGAACCCCTGAGGAAGCCAGAAGGCACCCTGGTCGAAAAAAGCTGGGCAAAACCAACATGTGGCCAAGTAGGAGGCAAGGCTTACTTTATTGACTAACGCTTTCAACTCCTAAAATTCAAACAGCAGGGAAAAATTTACCTGTTGCCAATAGCGATCTGAATGCTGCATCTTATTTTTGCAGGTTGCTATGTGCAATTGTTTTCTTTTTCTTTTCTATGAGATGTGTACAGGTGTAGGATGATGTAATAACATGCAATGGTAAATGAAGATGTCAAATTGGTTCAATACCAGTTGCGGACATTGCTTTCTCTAAGTCCCCTCAGGGTAAGTTATGCCAGGGGTACTTTTACATACCAAATGCCCTATATAACAGCCTACAGCTAAGCAATCATTAAAAAAAATGCATACACCTATTACAATGTATTCTATATAGAAGGGAGAACCGAGAACTGAGAACCAAGAAAAGCTCATATACAAGTCACCAAGGAATTTGCATAAAAGACCATTACATCATTTTCCCAGAAGTCCTGATATGTTGTGATGATTCCCTCAACTCTCAAAGCAGCTAAATGAATACAAGAAAAGCAACAAAATCCTCTTTAAAAGTCCAATTTTTAAACAAAAATAGCAATCTAACAGATACATAATTGCATAATATTTTATTGCTTTTTGAACAAATAATTTTATTTGCAGATTAAGACCTACACAAGTCAAAAGGCACTTCTCACACTGAAATACAATAGGCACACAGTGGGTAACTCCCATCAGTAAAAAGCTCAAATATGAATGAAATACATGAAGTGATAAACTAAAAAAAAAATGTAAGAACAAAATAAAAAATGCCAGAAAAAATAGATAAATAAAAAAAAGGAATGGAGTAGATGCAATAACCAAGATATGGACCAGTAAAGCTCACCTCTATAGCACACGGAAAGCCACATAAGTTCCAACAGCTGGCCCCCAAATTCACACACGTCAATCCCCATCATTTCCGATTTGCTCCCAAACATTTTCCAACGGCCCAATCAATTGCAAAACAAAAATTTAAAGGTTGGCCGCAAAAAAATAATGCGTGCTAATATTTGGAAAATGTAATCCTTTGTTAAAAAAAATGTAGGGTATTTTTTTTTATGTAATTATTTTTCTCACAGATCCATTCAAGAAGAAATAAAGTGCATCTTCCCCGAACAACCCTTCCTTCAGAGAGGGATACCTGAGCAGGGCAGGCAGAAAGGGAAGACGTAATGGGAAAAATTGGATTCTTGGCTGTAGACGGTATTGATTTGCTGCTTTGGTCGCTCTCTCCCCTCCCTTTCTCCAGTCACACATCTACACCCCTCTCTCTCTCCCCTCCCTGCTGCATGCAATCTCCCATGCTCTATCCATCCCTGCGACTGCAATGATCTCATCCTCATCTTTGCAGCTTTCTCACACACGCACCAGAATACAAACAGCGGGCTGCCTGCTGCAGAGCTAGGGTGTGAGAGGAGGGCACAGCTGCAGCCAGGTGCCTAGGGATCTGCTCTCCAGCGAGTGTGCTCACTGCCAACAGGCAAATCTGTGCTGTAATTCTGCACGTTCCAAACCAATTTTAAATTGTCGTCTGATAAAATTAAAAGAAATAAAGCACAGTAAAAAAAAATAATAATAAAAAAAATTGTATGTGTGTGTGTGTGATTATATATATATATATATATATATATATATATTACACACACACACACACACACACACACACACACACACACAGAGCATTACAAGCAATAAAAAATAACAATACATTATCATTACTGTTATTATGCCAACCTATTAATAATTGTATAATTAAATACATAGGAACAAAGGATTAAAAAAACATTTAAAGTCCAACTGCCCAAGTCTAGCTTGGACACAAAAAAATTACACTTGCTAGCATATATAAAAAAAAAAAAAAAAAGAATCCTCGCCAATCCAGTACCACTCCTGTTCTAGATTTAATGACACCCAGCATCATTCAACTCACTTCCTCTGTGTCCTAGATGTCATGGCTCCTCCCCTTGCCCTGGCCTCACAGGAGAAAGCTGTAAAGAGTGGCATCACGTAATTTTACGGCGCTGCTTTCTGCAGCATCCAGGATCCGTCCACTGATGGAGGAAGGAGAGGGTGAAGGGGACCTGTGACATCACTAGAGCAAAGACACTTGGGAAAAAGGCATGCATAGAATTTTTTTATTTTTTTTGCTGGGTTGTATGAAGGGAGTGATCCTGAGTAGTGATGGGCTTGGGCGTGTTCGCAGCTCCACGTGCCGAGCCGGCCAGGAAGCGGACAGCGCCAATCACGTCCGAGCCCATCACTAATCCTGAGTGAAGAGTTGTGCTATAAAAGAGAACTATGGGGTAAGTGTTTTTCCCCATAGTTCTCTTAAGGGTCACGGGAGGACATATACTAGCGTCCTCCCGTGACCCAAAGCTCACTCCGAGACTGCCGTAGCCGGGACGGATCCCGACAATGCTGTCAAGGTCCACCTAGCTGCGTGAGTGACAGCGGGCTCGGCCTATCTAGAGGCAGAGCCAGCTGTGCCCACCCCTACCCTGTTTGTTCCTCCAATCAGCGCTTGAGCAGCGGGGCGGGGGGGGAATCCCTGCGGGGAGCGGTGACTGACAGTCATCGCTCTCTGCAGGGAGATGATCGGGAAGTGAGCGAGCGACGGTATGCGTTTCATTGTCACACGTCGGCTCGAACTATGAGGATGAGTGATTTTCACTCACCTCATAGTTCTCCTTTAAAGAAAAGCTGCATTGGGAGAAATCTGGAAACTACCATTGCAAAAAGACCTAGCATCAGACATGTTTTTATATAGCATGCCTTCATCTGTCTTTTTTTCTTATTCAAGGTAGACAGTACCATCTTTGATCGGGCATCACATCCAGGTTCACCATCTACTTCTTGGACTGAGATGCCAGCTCAGAGATGACACCATCCTGTAAATCCTGCAGTCTGTGCAATTTGAGGCGGTTTTTACAAATGTCTGACACATTAAAAAGATCAGCCCCCTGCAGCAGCCTCTCGCTACAAAGATACATTGCACAGTCTGATCACTGGGGGAGAGGAGACTGAGGAAATGCCTGCCTGCAGCAGGCTCTCACTGTCATCTCAGCCTAGGCAAAGTTTCTGAACAGCTTTGTAATGATAAAAGGTGGAGCTTTTTTGAGAAATGATACTGCTGCTGTAATATTGTGATGTGGAATCTATGTCGGGTATTTATGTGTAAGTGTCAGGTATTTATGTGTCTCAGGTATTTATGTGGTATGTGCAAGTGTCAGGTATTTATTCATGCAGAACTGTAAAGTTACAGAAAAAGTTCCTTTGAAGGAAGCAAAAAGGCAACAAGGAAGCAGATCAGGAAAGTCAAAGAAAAGTCAGATGTCCTCACCTACGGGTCAGAGACTCAGAGCAAGGAGGCCACCATGACAGCCAGACAACAAACTTGTATTCCGACAGGTGCAATGCAAAAACAGGCTGCACAAAAAGTTCTTTTTTCTTGCCCAGACCATGGCTACAATTTATTTTTGTTTAGGGAAGAGTCAATACATTCCTTTCCGTTGGAGTAATCACCTCGTTCTAACTTTAATTAACTTTCTCCTCATGCACAAACTAACAAACATGACCTACAAGTTCCATGGAAGGAAGTCTCCTTCCCTGGCCTGCAGAAAATAAGCATATTACCTACAATGTTATTTTTCCGCAACCTTATTGTGTCTCGATGTTCCCGGCTTGAAACGCCATCCGGCGGCTCGGATTACTGGACTTAAATGAGTAATTATCATATTACACTCTCGGTTGTCACACTGGAGCAATTTGTCTCTTGGCGAGGAGTCCATGGCAGCAAAAGTAATTTTCTATGTCAATGACATTCTTCAGACTCCCCTCTCTCGCTCTCTTCCCTTTCATACCTCCAGGACTCGATAACCATCTCTGGCCAGCAGCAGAACACTCTTTATCAAGAGCCCTTCGGCTCCAAAACACGTCTTGTTTTTCACAATATGTTTCCAGAGGAATTCTGCTGAGTAACAGGAAGAAATTCTGCAGAGTGATGGCGGCGAAGGGATGGAAAGAAGGAGAAATGGATGAGAGTAAATGGAGTGAAAACCTCTCCAGTAGGTGGAGCTACTGAGTACAGAACGGGAGGTGCGGTTTACTTACATCTAAAGACATGAAAATGGACTTCAAGGGATAGTCCACCTCTGCAAACATTTTACGCTCTTTATTTAAATATATTCCTTACTAGCCTCAAACTATATAAATCCACTTAACACCTTTGAGTAGCCAGATATTATCTTGCAAAAAGTAGCAGTGACATCATCACTGTGCTGTACATAGCCTGTGCAGAGAACAGAGGTGTGAGAGGGACCCAGCAGGCTCCACCCACTGCACCACTGCAGAAAACTACCGGAAGAGGTGGAGGCAAGACCAGTCACCCTGCACAAGGAGAGAGAGCAGAGCTATGGGAGGAACTCGGATGGCCCCACCCACTGGAGGCTGCCTGCAGAAAGCTACAAGAGGGAGGGGCAGAGACAAGACCAGTCACTCTGCACAAGGAGAGAGATCAGCAGTGACCGGTCTGTGTTACAGGAAGGGGCGGAGACAAGACCAGTCACCCTGCACAAGGAGATGTACTGCACTTTTTTATTTTGCCTTGCAGTAACATAGGCCCATATAGATTACCCTGTTCAGCAGATCTATGGGTTCAGGGACTAGAAACGGCCTCTAGATGGTGCAATGTGCCCTTGTGTAAATCAATCTGAATTCTACTGACACATTTGCATCAGAAATGCAATATTAATTTTCAAATATTAATCATGAAAGGCCACTGCTGGCCATCTGAAAATTCTAGCTGTCTCGTCCTGATTAGTGGTCAGTGGCTCATAGGCTCCTGAAGCCAATGGATCGGCATGACAGCCAGGAAATAGTGACATCGGAGCTCCTGGTCAGCATATTTGTTCCGTTCGGTAAAAGCACTAAAGGCATTAAATCGTTGCGATAGCCAAGCAACAAGCAATCTCACAAAGATCGGCCATTAATGGCAGCCTGCACGTCTCTCGGCACGGGTTACCTTTAAACAGACGCAGCTTACTTCTTTTAAAGCTAACTGGTAGACTTCATAAAACCGGCTTTACAAGATTATATGTTTTAATTTTCCGCAAGCGCCTAGAGGTAGAAATGTTTTGCTATTTATAAAACAATAAACAAGGGAAAACCCGGCTGCTTACATCCATCTATCGGGTGTGGAAGCTAGCTGGCAGGACAATGGGGCTGCATGGGGGGTCGATTGGAGGCTGCGGTGCTGGAGGGGGGCAAGTAGCTGGTCTTGCCTAGGGCGCAAACTAGTCTAGCACCGGCCCTGCTGGGCGGTCACATGATGCGCTGAGCCCTTTCCCTCTCCCGGCCTTCTCTATCCACAGGTGGCCTTAGGAGGTGTTCCACTATTTGCATGAATACAATGTATCAGTAGTGACGTCCTGTATTCACAGTAAGGTCCTCAGTCTTCTGGGTTGAGTGACTTCAGCGGGTACAGTGGCTGTAGTAAAGAAGTGTACAAGCTATGCCCAAGGTAGCTAAGACTGGTTAAAGGAGAACGCCGGGCATAACTTTTATAACTTTCATTTTGGTCTAGGGAAATCTAGCTGCCTCGTCTTGATTTGCATACTTATTAGAGTTCAGTGGCTCATGAAGCCACTAGATCGGCACGACAGCCAGGAAAAAGTAAAGTCGGAGCTCCTGATCCTCGGAGCCAGCTAGCTCTTAGACCGGTCCTTCCAGCATCAATTCCCCGCTGCTCCAGTGGTCTAAGGTCCCCGAGTCATCACATTCTATACACAGTGCAAAGGCCGCGAGGACGCCGAGGGACATGCCCTCGCTAAAGAGGAGGAGGAGGAGACAGGGGAGCGCTGTCACAGCCAACCGGCTCGGAGGATCCTCCCTAGGCCAAAACAAGCAGTTCTGCTTTAAGCTTGTACATTATTAAGCAGTTTTTTTTTTTACTATATGTATACTATCTTTATTACAAATAGAGATTTCATA